TGACTGCTGTCACCTGTGGACCTGCCTGTCCGGCTTCTCCCTGCGCTGTGTGCTGCCGCCGGCCTGGGCAGGTGGGAGACGTGCTTCCTGCAGCAGTGCGGGCCTCGCTTTCCCGGCCACCACGAGGATTTCTCCTTCCGCGGTCGGTGAACAGACCTGCGAGGGAAGCGCACGTAAATTCCTCCTCCACGAATTAAAAAGCGGGAAGGGAGGTCTTAGCAATTTGTCTCCATACGAGAGGTTGACACATGCTTTGGGGCGGAATTTTGAAAGAGTTCTTTGCTACTTCTGCCGGAACCGCTGAACGCTCTATTGATTTGAAACCATATGGCTTTAAAAAAAGAAAAACTTTCTTTCAAAGTCTTAGAAGAGAAAGGAACTTGGAAAGGTCCTGATTTTGTTGCCATGGGACAGGAATATTTCAGATAGGTGAGGTCTTGGGACAAGGTCCGGACATCTACCGGGTCCCATTTGTAATGATTACCGGGAACTAATTATCAGGAACGCTTTCCTGCTTCACCCAGAGAAACCTGGATTTAATCAGCAAATGAGTCCGCAAACACAAAACTTTGAAAGGAGAGACTGTCAGGCCTGGGATTTAGCCCCGTGGTTCTGCTGCCTGCCTCCCAAGCGCAAGGTCCCGAGTTTGATCCCTGGTACAGAGAGAGCGAGAGACTGTCTTTATTCAGCAAGTAAAATCACACCCATCAATTCTTAGAGGGAGAGGAGACTCCTAGCCTCAGACTGGCACTGGACCTTAACAGGCAGATGGACGATTTGGTATTTGAATGTGAAAAATACATTTTAAAAAAGTTGTCCTTGTGAGCTTACAATTTCAAAGAGAATCTCTTTGGAAAGTTGGCACTTAACTTTTCTGGCACAAGGACTGGTTTTTTTTTTTTTTGCTTTTTTTTCCCTTTTCCCCTCCACCCAAAGCTGTGACAGGGTGGAGTATATGTCCGTGAAATTGCATGTTTCCAAAATAGGATTCACAGTTAGATTTTACTGCTGGTATAATTGAATCTCGACTCAAAACTGAGTGGAACCCAAGCATTCTAAAAATAGAATTTCAGCTCCTACTCCTGACTCTCTTCCTGTGGGACGTGCTCTCTGTATCTTACGAAAGTGCTTTTTGTGTAGATGTGTCTCAGCCCACCTGCTTTCCCGGCAGACTGCGTTTTTGTCCTTGGCACTGCCCTTCCTAGTCAGAGTCAAAGCCAGTCTCCTGTGGCCAGAGCTCTGTGCCGTGTCATTCCTGCTGCCCGTGTTCCCTGGGCATCTGGGCGGCTTCCGGGAGAGCTCGACTCTCTTCAGCTCCTGGGTTTCTGTCCCTGAACACTCCGCAGAAGGGCAGGACTCCCTGTGCCCTGGGTTAGGCTGCATCTGGAACAGAGCTCGCTCAGGGTCAGAGGTGAAAGTTGGGAGCATCTGGCTAAGGGAAAGCGGAGCTATGGTTTTGCTGGATCCTATGGGATGGTTCGTGGTCTGTCCCTGAACAGCCCACTGATGAATAAACAACCTTTGGTGACCACTTCCCCTCCAACGTGATGTGTAAAAAGGCTGTTGTAGCCAGGATAAGCTCTCCCGGATTTTACTCCAAGGCCCTCAAGCACCGAACCCTCAGATGATGCGTTTGACAGACCCGATGGCAGTGGTCCCGAAGGGGCTGTGTGGCCCTGAATGGCAGAGGCTGCCTTAGCTTTCTCCCGGATGACCCAGCAGCCAGCAGACCTACAGTCCCAGCAAGTACCTCCCAAGGAACTTCCTAAGTACCAGTCCTGCTGTAGGAATATCCACTGTCTCCTGGGCTCGTAGGGCGGAAAATACCCAGGATGGGAAGGAACGATGTCCCCTAGAAAAGACTCACGTTTGGTAGGATGACGTGGTCTTTCACTGTCCTTTCCGACCTTGAGATTTTGTTTTCTGGGTTGCTGAGTATTGAGAACCCCTTGCACCTTTCTCAGGAAGCTGTGTGATTCCTTCCAGTCCTGGGATTCTTCCACTGTTGGATTCTTGCGGGGATTTTTGTTTGTTTGAGGAATCCTTTGACTTCATGGAAGGAAAGCACGATGGGACCCTCAAGCAGTATCCAGGAGGGATGAAGTGAACAGTTTTCTTGTCCGCCCCCCACCCCGTTTGAAAGTAGGGTCTTCAGATGTGAAGTGGCTTGTCTTCAAAGATGTACCTGCTTTCCAGGAGAACTCTGGCACTTAAAAGCAGGTTTGATAACTTGAGGACCATTTCTCTGGCTAGATTTCTGCTGTGTAAGATCTGATGAGGTTACAGACATGAAAGGTCTCCCACAAAAGACACTCCCAGGCAGTTCCTGGGCTCTGGAAGAGCGGGTTACCTTGCAGGAGTGGACCTCTTTCTACTCCTTGAGAGCTGGCCTAGGAACCAGGAACCAGGAAGGGACACAGCCCAGGGGCCAGAGGGTACCAAAGCTCTGGAAGGAAGGGTGCAGGGGGAGCAGGGAGCAGGAGGAGCCAGACTACTGGGGTCCGTGTTTCCCTGCTGTGGTTTTGACTCAGTGGCTTGTCAGGGGCTGCACTGATGGTCTGTGTCATGAATTCATTTCCAAAAGGGGATTTTAATTTATTGCAAATAGTGTGCCTGCAGCTCTCACCGTATGTGCTCCTTGAAGCAGAGGCACTAATGGAAAAACTGGTTGTTGAGCCTCTGGTTGCAGAGGGCAGTTGAGGAAGCTGAGATCAGTGGCTGCGGCCAGTGTTGGCTTCCTGTCTGCTCGGTCCCATGGGGACGGGAGTGCAGGGAACCGTCCTCTGCACATTAACTCCCTCTGCCTAAAATACAAGCCCTAGCCTGAGCCTGCCTCAAGTGCACAGGGGAAGAGAAATCAAAGAGGTTTTTTTTTTTTTTTTTTTTTTTTTT